CTCATATAATGATTGGAATGAAAATGCATCAATATTTAAACAAAGAATAATAAATAAAGAACATATAATAGTTATTGAAGGTACAGAATGAAATGAAATTATGTATTGAATAAAGAACATATAATAATTATTATTGAAATGAAAGAAGGAAATAAATTTGGAGGATATGTTAATTAAAAATTGATAACAGTATTATGGTTATATAAATGATTCAAAATCATTTGTGAAAGTTATATAAATGATTCAAAATCATTTTTATTATGGATATATGATTCAAAATCATTTGTATTTTGTAGGATATATGATTCAAAATCATTTGTATTTTCAATAGAATCAAAAGGAAAGAATAAAAAGAATGAAGAAAATTGATATTAATCAATCACAATATGCATTTTGTTATGTAACCAATCAGATAATTATTTGTTTAAACTTGGAAATAATGATATAGTTGTTTTTAAAGAAAGTTATAAACAATATCATATTGTAAACAATATTCATTTGAATACAAAAGAATCAAAATGCACTTTGTTGAAAACAACTTCCAGAATATTTTACACCAAAACGAATCATAGTAATTGTATAGTTTCACACCAAAACATTTCATAGTAATTGAAATGAAATGATTCGATCTTGATGAATTGGAAATGAAATAACAAAATTATCATATTATTTAATAACAACATTATGCTCATATTTTGAATTAAATTCAATATATTCTATGAAATGTTTTCCATTATTCTTTTGAATTTTTCTTAAGAATTGAATTTTTATATTATAATTTTAGTAAAATATAACAATGACTTACTTATCAACATTGATATTTGGTATTTATATAATTCAAATAATTTGTATTGATTTAGCATGTTACTATCATTTATATTTTAATAATTTATTTTTTATTTTGTAATAAAGTGATATTTTCTTAATACTCTTTATCATAAATATTATATATTTTTATTATTATATATTCAGTTCAACTTTGTATTACTATTTCAACCTCTTTTAGTTATTCATTTTGTGTTTTGTTTTTAATTATTTATTTTTTTCGAGTTATTTTTTCTTTACCTTTGTTTTAATATTATTCATGTCTTCTTAGTACTTTACTATATTATACAATTATATCATATCAATTTATATTAGTTTGATTATTATTACATTATATTTAGAATTATGAAAATAATTGAAACTTAGACTGATATAATAAACATATTTTCAATGTAATTACAACATGATAGTTTGTATAACTATTATAATTCAACAAATAAAAACAACCAATTTCATTCATTTTGCATATTCCTTTATTAATTAATTGATTTTGATTATTCATCTTTGTCTGTTTTGTACTTTATGTAAATTTTTTTTGGTAGTTATTTACATTTTTGAATAACAATTAATTAAAACAAAGAAAATTTTTGTTATTGAAAAAATAAAAAAATTAAAAGAACTTAAAAAATAATTTTAATGAGATTGAATAAAAACCTAAAAATTTAAATATAAAATGAGTGAAGAACGATATGATGAAATTCAACTTGCTCTTCAACATATAGAAGTAAATTGGAATGAAATGGGACAAAGGATACAGTCTTTTAATTCATATATTGAACAAGCGAACTCTACAAAAGAATTTAAAAAAATTGCAGGAGAAGCCTCAGACTTAATAGGTGACTTAGATGAGTCTGAGAAATTGTTGCAAGCTTGTTTAGATAGATTGAACACTTTGTAAGTAATAAAAATTCATTGTTATTTTTTGTTACATAAAACAAAATAAGTTCGTTTTTGAGATATTTTGAAAGATCTTTATTAACTACCTCAATTATTTTGTTAAATTCACCAAAAAATGCCTTTTCAGATGAAAAAGAAGAACTTTTATTTCAATGACGAAGATTGATATTGAATTGACTATTCTTGAAGCAAAAAATTTAGCAGTTTCAGATCTGAAGAGAAGTGACCCGTATGTTGTCTTTATGGCTAATAAAGAAAAATATAAAACAAAAGTGATTGAAAATGTGCTTGACCCAGTATGGAATGAATCATTTCAAATAAAAGTAGAGGTTGGTGAGAAATTAATGTTACAAATAATGGATAAAGATGTAGGTAAAAAAGATGATGAAAATGGGGTATGTTATTGGAAAATTCCATCTATGTATAGTGGACAAATAATTTATGATATTTTAGAAATTGACAAAAAGGGATTTCTTTATATTAAAGCAGTTTGTAATAATTCACCATTACAAAAACGATTAATGCCATTTGACTATGAGAAAATAACATTACTTGAAGTTTGTATAATATCTGTTAATGGATTTTATAATTCATTAATATCAAACACATGTATAAAAGATATTACAAAACCAAAGGTATTAAAACATTTAAAATATACAATGGAATTAACAACATCAAAAACTAAGTGCCAAAGACTTATAAAGAAAAAAACAGTAGAAGGTCAGCAATATGGTAATTATGTATTTTTTGATCAAAAAATATTTGTAAAAGGAACAGTCAATGATGAGATAAAAATATCATTTTTAGCAAAAGAAAAACATCAAAAGAAATTTAAAGTAATAACTAATTCCTCATTTATTATTCCGGATTTTTTACCAAATGAAATAATGACACTTCCAATTCCTTTAAGTGAATCAGGTTCTTTACAATTAAAAATTACATGTCTTGAAAGTGTATATACAAATGTTTATCCAACAGTTATTCCAACAGCTGATATGGTAATAGAAAAGAAAGGAAATGTTGTTATGAAATTAACAAAATCAAATGGATTTGGTGATTTTTTAGCACCATACGCAACCGTTCAATTTGGTCCTTTGTTAATTACAACATCACCAATTCAACATTCTGGAGAACCAGTAATATTTAATGAAAGTTTCTTGGCATTAGTTGAAACAGGAACAAAAGCTATTGTAAGAATGTATAATAAAGATATGAAAAATCCAAGTAAAGAAGGAAAAAAATTATGTGAAGGTAAATTTGAAGTACCAGAAATAAAGAACAAACCAGTTAAAGTGGTTGTACGATTTAATAGTATTTCCCAATTAGAAATAGAATTTTTCTTAATAAGAACAACATCAAGTGTATTTGATGAACTAGAAAAGACTAATAGAATTGAAAAAAGAAACCAGAAAATAGAAAGTATTTTTAACAGATTTGATGAAGACAAAGACGGGTATTTAAAAGTAAGAGAATTTAGAACTGCCATTCAATTTGTTAACTCAACATTAACAAGAAGTCTTTCTGTGTTTTTATTTCCATGTTTTGCTGTTAATAATCAAATTAATTTAACTATATTTAAAGAAGTAACTGAAGTTCTTGCATCATTTAACAACTCACACGAAGCAATAACAAAATATATTTACAACTTTATTGATCAAAACAAAATTGGGTCAATTACATTAACTCAATTTATTAATTTTGCTCATCAAACTCAAATAGCTGATAATGACAAGGACCTGACAAATTTATTTAATTCTTTTGATTATGATAAATCAAAAACTTTATCATATAAAGAATTTTATCGAATGATACAATGTGTTGTAATTGACTAATACTTATTTATTAATAATATTTTAATACTTTTTTTCAAATTATAGTATTTAAAAAAAGTTTTATAATAAAAAACAAAAAAAATCAATCAATTAAAATAATATTTTTATTTAAGAAATACCAAATAATTGTTTGAAGAACAACTTAATGACTTTTCTTAAAGTATAGAAAAAGTGACTCAAAGAAAAGACAAAGAATAAAAAAGAAGTGAAATACGTCAAGGCAAGAAAGAGAGTTTAATAGTTAGTAAAACATTCAAAGAGATGGATTAATGTAACTATAACTAAAGAAATCATATTAAGTAAAATAATAGTATATGGACACCACTCAGATCCAAATGAATTCATTAAACAACCAGCAATAATAGGAGATATACAATAGGTACATAACCCAACAAGTTCATTAATTCCAATATAAATACCTTCATGTTGACCTATTTTAACTGCATAAAACATATTTCCTTGAAATTCATATGCAGCAATAATACCCATTGGTAATGAAATTAAAATAATTAATAATAATCCATTAGTAATAAATCTTAAAGCAACACCAATAAGAATAGTACCAACAATAGAACCAATATTTAATATTGGACTAAATTCCCAAATATGAGTTCTTCCCATAATAAAATATGTAATAGTTTCACAAGCACAAATAATAAATAACAATACACCAACAAGAACAGATGGCTCATTACTAATATGATTTATAACAACATGTTTTTCTGATGCAAAAACAATATACTGATCAGACATAATAGCTAAAGAACCATAAATTGACATTGAAAGAAATAAAGAAACATAAAAAAACAACTTTCTTTTTTTCATTGGAAGAATTTCATTATGAATATGTTCATCTAAACTACCATCTGTTGAATTTGAAGAATGAGATAAATTATCTAGTTCTTCACTTTTATCATCATTTTTATCATCACTTTTATTATCACTTTTATCATCACTTTTATTATGACTTTTATCATCACTTTTATCTTCAGTTGAATCCTCATTAACTTCTGTTAATTCACTACTTATTTCAACTGATTCAAGAATGTTATACTTAGGCTTTTTATTATAACGAGGGATAAGAATAAAAACTCCAAAAGCAATAAAAGCAACGAGATAAAGTGTAAATGTATTTCCAAGTAATAACATTACACTCCCTCCACAAAGAAATCCAAGTCCTCTTCCAAAACAACTCAATGTAAAAAAGTCAGCAAGTCTTTTTCCTTCTTTTCCTTCAGGTGCAACAAGTGAGATTAATGCTTCAATTGGAGTATAAAATAAAGCAAAACCTATTCCTTGGATTACAAGACAACTAGAAAGAATATAAATATTTAAATCATTAATACATAAAAATCCAGTTATAATACAACTAAGTGCAACTAAGGTAGTTCCTAGTGATGAAAGAGATTCTGGATTAAATTTATCTGCTAAATATCCAACAAAAGGAGAAAGAATTCCTGCTGAACCAAATGAAATAGCAGAGACTACTCCTATAACTAAAGGTGATTTTCCATCATTTTTTAATAAGACTGGAATAACTAACCAATAGAAATAAACACCAAAATCAAATAGTAATCCACAACAACACATAAATATATGATTTATTTTAGAAAAATCAACAAATAAATATTTTAAGCTATTAAACATTAAATAAAAAGAAATTACAAATGAAATAATTAAGTTCTTTTTTTTTCATATAAGAAGTTATAAGCTATTTTCTTTTTTCTTCTATTAATCTATTTTGCGTCATCATTTTGTTAACACTCCATTCTAGAAAATAAAAAAGAAGACAATTACTATTTCTTTTTAATTCTATTTTTTCTTTTAAATATTTTATGTTGAGGGGATTTATTTATAGAAATATCTCTATTTTTAAATTTTCGTTTAAATAAAAAAAAATTCAATTCATTATTATCAACTCTCTTTGGAATTATTTTCTTTATTACTCTTTCATAATTTATTGTTTATTTGTTAGTTTAATTATCATTTAAATAATCAGTAGAGTAAGGAGAAACTTTATAATTGTCATTTGGAATAATAGGATAATTAATAGGAATAAAATGGTTTTCTGTAGTATTAACATACTTCATAAAACAACCATTTCTAGCTAAGAAGTTAAACATTAATCGCCATACCGTTTCATTTTTTAATGTATTATCATTTCCAACAATAATCAATCCTTTTTTTGCTCTAGTAATTGCAACATTTACTCTATGAAAATCTCCAATAAATCTTGCTCCTTTAATATAATTTGACCTAACTGGAGAAAAAATAACATAATCAGTTTCATTTCCTTGGAATGAATCTATACTTGATGCACGTTCTATCTGACAATAATTTTTAGCATAAACTTTTTGGGAATTATATGGTGTTAAAAACTCAATGTCTTTTGTTTTTATTTGTTCTTCTTGACGTAAAAATAAATATACTTCTTTACAAATTTCAGCTTCTGTATCATTAAATAAACTTCCATCATTACAATATCTTTCTTTACCAGTATGACAAATAAATACAATTGGTACTTTCTTATTTGGGAAGATTGAGACATTACTTCTTTCAAAAATTGTACCATCATTAATCTTTTCATTATAAAATAATGTGTTTGGAAGAATAGAAATCCTAGGATGCATACGATATTGTTCATTTAGTAATGTATGTCTAACTCTACAATGTAATAATCGTTCAAACATTGTAATATCAAACCCTGCTTTTTTTGCTTCGTCTGAAAGAATTACTGGTTTTAATTGTTGAATGTCTCCTAGAAGAACCAATCGTGGAGAACGAAGTGCTGGAAACAGACAATCATATTCAGTGCATTGAGTAGCTTCATCTATAAAAGTGCAAAGAAAATTAATATCATTAAATGTATCTTTAAGACAACTTTTTACAGTAGCAACAATAACATTATAATCTTCAATAATATTTTTAAATTCTCTTTTAATAACATTATGAATATTACCCATCTTTTTACGAGAGTATTTTATCACTATTCTATTTCTTGTAGCTTCTTTTAATTCAAGAAGTAGATTAATCAAATCAAATGGAAAATCGTCAGGACGTACTCTGTAGTTCCTAAATCTTTCTTCATCCCGTAATGCAAATTCTAGTGTTCTTGCATAAATGCATAAGTCCCATTGGTCAAAAGGCATTTCTTCTAACCTTTCAAATGAAATGAAACGACAAATTTTCAAACCTGGAGATCTTAATTTACCAGCTAGGACATTAACCGCATTGTTATTTTGTGCAACACAAAGTACTTTTGGATTATTAAGACTTTTATGTATCATACCAAAAATCTTTTCATCCATATCTGAAATTCTATGATCCCTTTCTAAATGAAGAAAATTAACAACCATAGATTTAATTACTGTTGTTTTACCAGTTCCTGGAGGTCCAAATACAACTGATATCTGACTATTTAATGCGTTAAGAACAGCTTTCTTTTGTTGTGGATTTAAGTCTTGTGTTTCTGTTATTTCAAAAATTATGTCATTTTCTTCAAAAAGATTATAATTAGGAAAAGCTAAATTCCCAAGCAAACTTTGAATGAAAGTAGTTTCATGTAAGTTCAGTAAATCTCCGTTAATACATTTTTTTATATTGAAATTTTGTGTTTTGGGGTCAATAATATAACAACGAAGTATATTAAATGAATTAAAAATATTTTCGTTAAAAACTTGTTTAACCTGTTCAATGTCTTTAAAATATTCTTCACGTAAAGAGATAATAATTAACCTACTAGTAAAATTAACTACTCTACCAGTAAGAACAAGTTCTGAGCTGTCAAATTTTCTTTTTGCTTTTTTATTATAAACCAAACTATTAATGTCTTCCTTTTCAAATGGATGATAATTTCCTTCAAAACAACAAATAATAAAAGAGTTAATATAAAGGTTTTGTTCCATAGAATCAGTTTTAATATGAAGTTCATAATTTGATTTATCAATTCTATTAATGAAAAATTTATTAGGTTGTTCATGTCGTCTAAGACATATTTCTGTTATTGGATTATGACAACTTAATTCCATATCATACAATCGTTTATATGTAGTATAATAATCTTCAAAATCATCATATCTATCTTTTACTAATAAACCAATTTCTCCATATGCATTATTATCAATAGCATTAATTGTTTTTTTAGAAATTGCTGTATTTGAACTTTGTTTGCCAAAGATTAATAAATCAATTCTTCCTTCATCAATTAATGAATTAATAAAAGAATTAACTTCTTCAAGACTCATTTCTTCTCTTTGATGTTCAAAACAAGAATGACATAACAATTCATGCCTTAAATGTGAATATCGTAAATTATATATATTATCATCACCACAATATGTACATCTAATATATTCATCATTAATTTTGAATTGATAATGTCGACTCATTTTGATGTGTTCAACCACTTGACAATTACTGGAATTATAGACTGGTCCATTGCAGAAATATTCATTACATTTAATACACAAAAGAAGACCCTTAATCGAACCACAAAAACAACATCTATTATTCTGACTATTTGAATCAGATTCACTTGAATCTTCTGATTCATCTTCACTTTTATCTGTTGGTTCTGAAGAACTACTACTTAATGGTTCAAAATCATTTTTTGATATCCCCCTTTGAAATGACCTTGATTTATATTTGAACACTGGTTCATCTTCAGGTCTAATGAATATAAAACGACTTAAATCAGAATCCATAAATGATGATTTTATAGATATAACTTAAAAATAGCTTTGAATGATGCAAAAATTTTCTAAATTTTTATATCTAAATGAAAATTAGATAATTAATAATTGATAGAATTGTTTAAACTGCTCTTTGTTCATTAGAGACAAATACCATCACAGACTCTTCTTCTGTTATTTATAAAACGTATGTTTAGTTTTGATAGAATCAATGTTTAATAACATTCTTCATGTCTTAATGACATGGTTTTTAATTTCTTTTATAATGGCTGTTTCAACTTTTATTTCTTTATTTAATCTACTTCTTTCTGTGTCTATTACTTCATTTATTTTAACATTTCTTATTTTCTATATTCTTTATTTCTTTATATTCATTTCTTTTATTCAAACTAATCTCTATTAATATTACAATATTTTCAACATTATTCATATCATTTATTAGTTTTATTCTTTTTATTTATTACTTATATT